ATTTATTTATTTGAATCCGTTAATAATTGTGATTAGGACCGCACATGGTCCTATTATTCTGTTAAGAATGCTGCTGATCAAAATCTTTCTACGACACGTGACCTTATATTCACACGTGTCATTTCTTTACGTCTCACGATGAACATTTACTATAAATTAGTTTTTTGTTTCTTTTTTTCTTTTTACCATAAATTAGTTATATATTTATATAATGTTTTTTTATAAATATATATATATATATATTTATGTCGGTTTGGTAAATATTTAATATTTAGATTAGAAATAGTACTATATCATTCATATTAAAATTTATTCCTATATATAAATATTAAATATTTATTCCTATATTATTTATTTTTTATAATTCTCAATACGGAATATAATTGAACTAAACTATATTTTGATGTCTCTCTAATGGATTCTACGTATATATATGTGTTGAATTTGATATTTCGTGAACCATATTTCATTCATGCCAACAATATATATATATATATATATGTATAATATTTTTAAACAAATTTCTAAAAAAATATATTTTTAAACAAAAAATCAATGAAATAGATATAGGATGAAGAAAATGAAACCGAGTGATGCGACTTTGGTTAGTGTTTGGGAAAAAAAAAGGATGAATCATATTTAACATTTCATTAAAAAGAAAAGCGATGAATAACCCTAATTAATCAGTTAATTAAAAGCCACAAAGTTTGACCCTTTAATTAAGGTTACTCTGTATCATTAGACCGATTAAGTGCACTTATGATTCAGTAACCATTCGTTGGGCCCCACGTAGAAATCCATTAACATTAATCACACTTTTAAGACAAAAAAAAAGAAAGAGTGATATTTAAAATTGGAGTTAGTTTTAGTTTCATTCCGAGGTTTTAGTGGGAATCTATGTGGTCTCCCTTCCACCAGCAAACCAAACAGTTCATTTTTTAACAGTGTAATTTCGTTTAGACCAGGACGGTTAAATATACTGAATATATAATTATTATTCATGTAAATGTGAAATTTTATATATTAACTAAACTACAAAGTATAATTTATAAATTTAGAGTAAACACTAAAAACTCACGTGTCGTATTCTTTTGGATATTAGTTAATTGTGATGTATATTTGAGTTCATACTATGTTATTGTGGTAAGCTAATACAAAATTACGTATGAACAACCAATATATTTGAATCGAATCCCAACAATTAATTAATTATTATTATTGCAACTTGCTTAATGGGTCGAATATTTTTTTTCATAATTATTTATGTTTCATACGGATTAAATTTTATTGTATATATCACACGTTAGTGCATGCATTCTCTGCCTTATTGTTAAAGCACGCATTAACAAGTAAGCCGTATACAACAAAAAAAAAGAGCTTATGATACATACAAATCCAGAATGATACATAAAAAAATTGGGATATTTTTAGAAATACTACGTGGCACCAATTCTGCATGCGAGAGCTTGACCTAGTACTTATTTTTTTTTAAACTATGGAGAACCCGTGACTACCTACCCTACAAACAGAGACGAACTGGTCATCACCCGCGCCTAACAGTCTCTATGGACCTCAGTCCGCCGGACCTGGCCACCAGACGCGTCTAACACTCGGGTTGTAGTTGGACTTAGGCGTCTGCAGGTCAAACCCTACGCCCACGCGCACGAGCCTGCAACACACACGGAGGAGGTAAATCAGCCCATTATGATGGGCATGACAGGCGAGCAGGTCAAAAGCAAGGAAGAGCGATGAGATGATTCGAACCTTCCACCTCAGGGTGATGCACCATGCTCCCTTACCACCTGACCTGACCCCGAAGGGCATTGACCTAGTCGTTATTGCAATATTCAATTTTAAAAAGATAATGTAGCATGTTATTGAAATGATAAACCGGGGTTTAATGATGAGAGTTGGATTTGGACCAGATTTGGGGGGTCTCTGTAATCGTTGCACACGCTCTATATATGCTTTTGAATTACAAGATTCTCCAAATTATATACACATAAAAACACTTAATAATTGATTAAATTTATGCATTCAGTCTTTCTATTGAGAGATTTTTTAAAAACAATTTTCAAGATAATTGCCACCAATTTCCTTATTTTAATCGTTGAACAACTCTACAAAATTTGCATAGAAAATGCAATTATGATGTCGCAAAAACAGTTAGCGTGAGGCAATATAGTCAAAGATATGGCTTACTCTTCCATCTTGTTTAATTTCTCGTTAAATGGAAATTCCTAAGTGATAAAATAAAATAAAATGAACTGGTAACCGAGAGTTACTTGCATTTATAGTGTATATTGTACACACACACACACACCCCCATATATTATCGTAAATTTTGGCATATCATTACCATCAACATAACCTTTTATCATCGACCACAATCATTTGTAAAAATCTAATAAAAATTCAAATCCGATAATATGGATATTTGACGTATATAACGGCTATATAATTATTGAAAAATAAAATACGGAAATTAAATTAGAAAGAAGGAATAAAAGATAAAAGAACGGAAACACTTTTATTGCTACGAAAGAAATAAATAAGACAAAATATAATTGACACGATATATATTTTATTTTTAATTGATATTATGCCTTTAATTATTATCAATCATATCAAATCTCCATATTTTGTTTCTGTTTGAACAATAATTTTTATCAACGAAAAACTATGCACATTATCTGAAAAAGCTCGCATCTAATTGTTTAAATGAATAATATCCAAATATTTCGTATAAATAATGTTATAATATTTCTCTTATAGTTGGTTGATTCCCCCCTCCCCATTCCGGTGAAAACAGGCTTGGTTGGAGTTATATATACACGTGTATATTCTGCATATATTTTTTTATAATTGAGAAGTTTTTAACATAATTATATCTTTCAGAATACCGAAAAAAATATGGATAAATATTTCTCCTCACGCTTTGATTTAAATTCGAAATAAAAATATATTTTGTATATCCTTTTGCCATTAGTCCATCCAAACACTCGGATAATTCTGCGTCTTTTTATTGGATTGTTTGAGAAGAAATCCAAATTTATTGGGTTTTAATGCAAGTTGAAGGAAATGAAACAACAATATTATTGGAAAGGGACCACAAGAAATTTTCCATTTTATTTATTTATATATATAAAAATCGAGAGTTGACTTGAAAGGAAAAAAAAATGTTATCTTAAGGTACGACAGTGTTCAATGAAATTATTGCAAAGATCTCTAAAACTGTACGATCAGAATAATCTCAGATTTTAGTAATATGATCATCATGGCGAATCTAATTAATGCTCATCTATTTAATTAATTATTCTCCATATATGGTCAAACCAAAAGTCAGATAATAATAAAAACATTTAACAAAATACGATAATAAAAACAAAGATTGATTAAAAAAACAATTTTTTTTTTTGTCTTTACAAAGTGAACATGCATTTTTTATAACCATAATAATTGAGGCCCATTTAATAAATAACAACTCAGCTAATCAAGTAATGTTATATGGGCCTCGGCTGATAATGCATAGTGCAAGAAAGCCCATATATTATTTGGGCTTTATCTTACTCAAAGCCCATTAAATATACAGAACACAACCGACTAAATTTATAAAATTTTGATCTTCATTTTTTTTTTTGAATTCTGAAAACTTTAAAAACTCTATCCATTCAGTCCCTAAAAAAATAAAAACAATATAGATCTAGATGTAAAATAAAATAAAAAAACCGATCGATGTCCAAATAATTTAGGCATCTGTCTCCACCGTCATTTTTTAGGACGAATTTTGTTTTAACTTTTAAAAAGAAAATATCAAATTCATGAAAAAAAAAGAAAGAAAGGTATAACAAATTAATAATAAATCTCAAATTTCTATCGATATAAAATAACTGTAGTTATGCTCTACTTCACAAGGGTTTCCTTAAAATCTTCAGTGAAATCAGAAAGTATATAACTTTTCCATATAAAGATATTTTCTTCCATCTTATACAATTATTTATTTCCTTAATATTAGAATTTACATCTTATCCGATATATATATATATTTGACAAAAGCACAGTGTTTTTAATTTTGTCCATTTTAAAACTCAGATATTATGCTGAAATAATAATATATTCGGATACATCTCTGCCTACTTTTTAATTAAAGCATACCGAAATATAGTGCTATATTTATCAGCATATTGAAAGGAAAATATTCACACAGCAAAAATAAGTAACTGCGTAAATCCTCTTTATTAGGAAATATTGTGCAAAAATAAAATTACATCATGAAATAAAAAATTTCATTATCAAAAATATCTTTCATATATTATTTTGATTTCAACCTAAATCATGTTATCAAAATTACAGTCTCATCGTATGTTGATCATAATAATTATAACGTTAAATTTATGATGATCGCATTAATTAATCATTTTTACCATTTATATATCAAATTAATTATTTGATAAAATTATTATTAATTTAACATTATAATTAATATAATTATTATATGACTAAATTATAATTTTAATCATATATTAAAGAAATTAAAGTTAAAATAATATATATACATGTGTTTTGACTTTTTCCCGAATTGTCATTTCATACTGAAATTATCCAAAAATAGTTTTCGCATAAGGCTTTCGAATATTATCGGCTCCACCGAAATTCCGGGGAAAAAAAAACCCCGAAGTGAAAGAGGGTAGGGGCAGTTTCGTAGATATTTTAATAACCATGGCCATTTTGTAAGTTCGAAAAATAAAAATCCGGCGAGAAATTCCAAAGTTCAGAACCGAATCTTTTTTTCAGTGTTTCCTTTGGTTGCAGACACGAGAGCTGTTTACGTGTTTATGTGTCGAGCAGCTCGAGCAGGTCGCCTTTAGATCGATCTAGGGTGCTTCTCTTCGATTTCCCGATCAATCATCCCGATTTCGGCCTCTTTTTCCGTAATTGGGCTATTCGATTCCGCCCATTTCGTGTAATTTGTTCTAGATCGAAATCTGGTAATTTCTGCGATGGGCAAGAAGGTGGTTGTCGGGGCGGCTATCGTTGGAGCGGCGGTGGTCTGCGCTGCGGCGGCGCTGATGGTTCGCCGGCGGATGCGGAGCTCCGGCAAGTGGGCCCGAGCGATGGCGATACTGAGGGCGTTCGAGGAGGATTGCGCGACTCCGATCGCGAAGCTCCGACAGGTCGCCGACGCCTTGACGGTCGAGATGCACGCCGGTCTCGCCTCGGAAGGTGGGAGCAAGCTCAAGATGCTCATCAGCTACGTCGATAATCTCCCCACTGGGTAATTTCCATCGCTCCCCTTCTCTCGATTCGGCATTGTTCTTTCCCCAATTTGATCGATAATTGCACCAAGTTTGAACCCTTTGTTGAAAATTTCCATCTTTTGTTTCGTTTGTCGAGTTTCAGGTTCCTCCTATTTTAATCCGCACAATCATTTTCAACGTTTTATTGACGATTTGCGGTTTTGTTAGAGTTTCTGTCGAGAAATGCTTCTCCTTTCTCTGAATTTCGTTGAAATTGTCTGCCTTTGTCCTATGAAATTACAGATTTGTTTCTTTGTCCTAAGTCGTCAAATTTCGTTTCGATTGCCTCTGTAAATTTATCAACCGTGGGGGAAAGCAACGTTTAAAGATTGGCAATGAGTGGTTAGGCTGAGAAAAATACTCGTGGACTGAAACTTGTCTTCCCTGAAATCCTTCCAATTGTCAATATATTATTATATGCCTTTAAGGTTCTTCAAAGATTCTGGATTGACTTTAGGTGACCTCAGTGTATCTGCCCCTTGTTTCTATATTGCCTGCAAACTAGTTTTAAGTTTTTGATCCATCATTTTTGCATCCTAATATCTGAATTATCTGTCTTTCATGGTTTCCCAAGTTTTTTTTCTTCTTGGGATCAAGCTTCATGATACCAGAGTCTTTCCTGATGAAACCTCCTGATTGATTATTTTTCTTTTAAAAAAATCTGAAATATTCTTTTTTAGAGGGTACACGAGTTGAATTATTGACAGATAGATGACCTGAAAATGTCAAGCTAAGTGGACCAGATGGTTTAAAAGTCTCTCCCCTAACTTCCTTGTCTGTGCACTTTATGATCAGTTTGGTTCATGTGTTCTGTTCATCTGGGTCCATTTCCACTTCCAGAATCTCTTTTTGAAAGGGTTTATTCTTTTCTTCTTCTTTTTTGCCATGTGCTATTGGAATTGAAGGTTGCATTGCATGTTTTTTTGCAAACCTCTAGAACAAATCTAAAAATAAAAAGTGAAAAAAAGAAGCTTTTGGTGGCAATTGTTCATGCTCAGCTTCTAAACTCAGTCTCTTCATGTTTGTAACCTTTGCTACAAATTTCACAGGGATGAAAAAGGTCTATTTTATGCACTAGACCTTGGCGGAACAAACTTCCGTGTAATGCGTGTGCTCCTTGGTGGGAAAGAAGGTCGTGTTGTCAAACAAGAATTTGAAGAAGTTTCCATTCCTCCTCATCTTATGACGGGTGGTTCAGATGTTAGTCACCGCTTCTAATCTGTTTCGTAAATTTCCTGTTCAAGTTGGATGGTTTATTATAACTCTGTGAATTGATACATTTTACCAATGCTGGTTTCAGGAATTATTCGATTTTATTGCTGATGCACTCGCAAAGTTTGTTGAAACAGAAGGGGAGGATTTCCATCCTGCACCGGGTAGACAGAGGGAGTTAGGTTTCACTTTCTCATTTCCGGTTAGGCAGACATCTCTGGTGTCTGGTACTCTCATCAATTGGACAAAGGGCTTCTCCATTGAAGATACAGTTAAGTTTCAGACTGCCTTAACTGCATTTGTTTAATTGCAATAGTATATATGCTTCCTTTCATCATGCAATTTTTATGGGTTTGGTATATCCATTTGAAGCTTTCGTTTTGGCCAGATTTGGAAGTATATATTATATATTCAATACGATGATGTTTCCTTCTGACGAGATGACTTCTGCTGTCTCTGTTTCGGGTAAATCTGTAGGTTGGACAAGATGTTGTAGGAGAACTCAATAAAGCCATCGAAAGAGTTGGGCTTGACATGCGTGTCGCCGCCCTTGTGAGTTTAGATTAGACACTAAATCTGCTCTGTTTTCCTGCAGAGTATTTCGTCTCATCGTTTGTTGAAGGATTCTCTTCCTCGTAAATTTTACAGGTAAATGACACTGTTGGGACACTAGCCGGTGGCAGATACTATAAACCAGATGTCATGGCCGCTGTTATCTTAGGCACTGGTACGAATGCTGCTTATGTTGAGCGTGCGCATGCAATTCCCAAGTGGCATGGTCTGCTTCCTAAATCAGGGGAAATGGTTTGTTTTTTGGCAATAACTTATCATCTCCATTGACAGAGCTTTGAGCTCCTTGTGTGTTTTTGTGTACTGAAAAAACTTGTATTTTCCTCGTGTTAGGTCATCAACATGGAGTGGGGAAACTTCAGATCATCGCATCTTCCGTTGACAGAGTTTGACCACTCCCTGGATTTCGAGAGTCTGAATCCAGGTGAACAGGTATGAGTTTACGTCCCAACCGTTACAAATTCGTTGTAAGAGGATCATGACTACGAGGCCCATGACAAATCTATGTGGCTTACAGATCTTTGAGAAAATAATTTCGGGTATGTACTTGGGAGAAATCTTGCGTAGAGTTCTTCTGAAGATGGCTGAAGAGGCTGCTTTCTTTGGTGACACCGTCCCTCCAAAGCTGAGAATTCCATTCATCATAAGGTAACTGCTTCTATTCAGCTATCCTGAACAAATCATATAGTCTGACCTTTACAAGAGAGCTACTCTATAGTCTATTCTACTTTTGTGTGCTGTCATGTCTTCAAATAGACAATATAGTACTCTTGTTTGCACTAGACAGATTATGTCACTGTCTTTAAATAATATACAGGACCCCTCATATGTCGGCAATGCACTCTGATGCTTCTCCAGACTTGAAGGTTGTCGGAAGCAAACTGAAGGACATATTAGAGGCGAGTTCTATTATACATCTTTCCCATAGTCCTTGATATTTTTAGTTAGATTTGGGGATACCCGGAACAAGAAAAGCTGATACCGATCAATTTTGTACCGTCTTAGATCCCTACGACATCTCTCAAAATGAGAAAAGTTGTAATCAGTCTCTGCAACATCATCGCCAGCCGAGGCGCTCGTCTATCTGCTGCCGGGATTTATGGCATCCTCAAGAAACTGGGAAGGGATGTGCCTAAAGAGGGAGAACAGCAGAAATCAGTGGTAGCCATGGATGGTGGGCTGTTTGAGCATTACTCTCATTTCAGTGCTTCCATGGAAAGCACACTAAAAGAGCTACTTGGAGATGAAGTCTCGGACAATATCGAGATCATTCACTCGAATGACGGGTCGGGCATTGGAGCCGCTCTCCTTGCAGCTTCTCATTCTCAGTACCTCGAAGTGGAGGACTCTTAAAAAACCCGGCGAAAGCAAGCTGTGGAGCAAGCTGTGGTTGAGGTGAATGATGGAGCCAGTGTCTGTGTGATTTCAGTAAAGTTAAAATCTTTCCAGCCTACTAGCAAAAGGGCCTCTTCCTCAAGCAACCAAAAACGCAGTACCTTGTGTTTCTCTTGCTCTGTTTTTTTTACTTCTAGGGTTTAGAAAATAAACGAAAGGTAAGCTCTTGGGGGGGATTTTTGTTCTGTGTTGGGGAATAATAATAAACCCGGGGAACTCCAGGTTCTGGGAATTTCAAACCAGACATGTTGTAGAACTATTTATTCTGAGTTACCTGGTTTTCTGGGTATATGAAAGATCATATATTTCTTCTTCTGAAAATCCTCCAGCATTCTGGATTATCTGCGGCCAAATTTTCCATAATCCGGTGAAGTTCAGACAGAACAGATTTCGTTGGATTCCGGGTAATATGAAAGATCAAATTTTTTTTTTCCTGAAAAGCTTCCATCATTCTGGATTTATCCCCGGCAGGATTTTCAGAATCCGGCCAAACTTTCTAAACAGACAGAACAGAGTTCGTTGGACTCCTGACACAAAAAGATTATGTTTTTCTTTTTCAAGATCAAAGGACATATTAAGCATTGACCAAAGAAACTCGAATCCTCTCTCCATCTCTCAGAAGCATTTATACAAAGAGCAGCAGCAACAAGAGAAGAGCATCGCCCAAATCAAGCCGACTCAGAAGAAGAGACAGTGGGTTGAACAGAGACATTGTTGAGCCGCTCGAGAGTCAAGATCAAAGCTTGAGTTCCCAGGTTGCCTTCTCCATGTGACTTGAGCGACAAGTAAAGCTGTTGGGCAAGTGCCAATCCCGGCAGAGCCAATCCCATTCTCTGGCATTCGTTCAGACAAATCCCCAAATCCTTCACGAAATGATTCACGTAGAACCCTGGCTCCAAATCCCTCTTCAGAATCCGGCCTCCGTACAGATCAAGCGATCTCGATCCAGCTGCTCCTGCCGAGATCGCTTCCAGAAACTTTCCGGCGTCGAGCCCTGCTTTGTGAGCGTAGATTATGCCCTCGACGAGCCCTAGCATCGTCGACGCGATCGTGATCTGGTTCGCCAACTTCGCGAATTGCCCTTTCCCGCTTGTTCCCATGTAATTAACCTTGCCCATCAGCGCAAATACCGGATCCAGCCGCTTCACGACGATCTCATCTCCTCCGGCGAAAATCGCCAGCTTCCCGTTCTTCGCGCCGAGATCTCCGCCGGAGACAGGCGCGTCGATCGAGAAGCAGTTCGCTACCGCCGCGGCGGAGGCGATCTCCTCAGCGAGGGATGGCTCGGAGGTTGTCATGTCAACGAGGACTCCGCCGGGTCGAAGACCGGGAAGAGCGCCGGAGGTTGGGTCGAGGAGGACGTGGCGGACGTCGGAGGGATATCCGACGATGGAGAAGACGACGTCCGACTGAGTCGCCACGGAGCGAGGCGAGTCGGCGAGCTTCGCGCCCATGTCGATGAGAGTTTGAGCCTTGGCGATGGTGCGGTTGAAGACGGTGACAGTGAAGCCGGCTCTGATCAGGTGCCCGCACATTGAGCGACCCATGACGCCGGTCCCGATCCAACCCACCCGCGTGTTCGCCGGACTGATCGGATCTCCTGCGGTGGAGACAGAGTCCATTGTGCGGCGGAGGAAGGCGAAGGCGAAGGCTCCGGTGGCGGCGGAGGAAGAGGGTGAGCGGTGAAGAAGTCGAAGTATATGCATTTTCTGTGGCGAGCGATTCGCTACTTATCGCTGGTTGTGGTAGAAACAGTAATTTCGAGAATGTTCTGAGGACTTTTCCGTCTTTCGAATAAATATTGGCCATTTTCCACTAACGGCGTCGTATTAAAGTCATCTCCCTCATCCTTATCTTCCTTGGGACTCGGCCTTAAACCCTAAATTTGCTGGCGAGATTCGTTCAGCAAAGGAATTTTCTTTGATTTGTTGTTTTTGATTGATGTCAATCTTCATCCAGCTCCAGCAAGGTACATATCAAGGGCTCTTTTTCTGAGTGGAGATCTTCTTATTTTCTTTTTGAAATTTTTTCTCTCTCTCTTCCCTTCCTCCGCGAGAAAGCTGGAATTTTCCTTGCTCAAAATGTACTGTAATTTAACTAGAAGTCAAGGGTTTCCCATGGCTATTAGGGTTTCGTTGCAACAAGCACCTGTAAAATGTTTCCATACATCAGCGTCATCATCTTTAGCAGTAGGGTTTTGCGTGAACCCCAAAGGAGACGCCTTCGCAGATATTTCAAGCGGGTTTAGTCGTAGCCATTGTAAACCTTTAGGGTTTCTGAAACAAGGGAGTGTCTCTGTTAGTTCGCACTTTAGGACAGTGGAAACTGGACGAGCGACAAAACCTGGAAGTGGTTCGAGGGTTATTGGTAGGAGGGTCTTTTCGAGTTTGAATGCACAGAGAGCTGATGATCGAATAAGTACCGTGAAAGCTGGAGATTCTCTTCCTTGGTTGGAGTCGAATACTGTTGGAGGAGCCAAAAGGTCGGAGAAGGGAAGTAGCAGCAGTAGTAAGGGTCGTTCTTCTTGGGAGGAATCTGCTAAGAGGTTGGATAAAGCTGGTGGTGGTGGTGATTCAATATGGGTGGAATCTTCCGAAAAAACGGCAAAAAACACATTTCCAAAAGCTAGGCAGTTGGCTTGGGAGAAGCGGGATAAGAGAGCTGATTCTGTTGCTGACAGGAGAAGAAGTGGATACAAGAAGATGGGTGAAGCAAAGCGTAATAATTCTGTTCGTGCTGTTGAAGATAGATACATTGAAGGCGAAGAAGAAGAAGAGGTAGAAGAACAAGGACAAGTTGAAGAAGAAGTGGAGGTTGTTGATGATCATAGGGGGTCCGAAATCAAGAATAGGTTCGATAGATTTGTTGATGTAAGAGATCATGGGCGTGGCAAACCAGGAAACATGAAATGGGATAAGCAGGAAGCTTGGGGAAGGAAAACATGGAAAGAAGCTACCGAGTCAACTGTGCCTAGAATGGTCGGTGAAGGTGTTTATGGAGTAGGTCCAGTGTTGGCTGCCCTATCTGCCGGCAGACGAGAATTTTACGCATTGTATGTCCAAGAAGGTTTAGATATGAGCAGTAACAACAGGAAAAAGAAAGACAAGAAAGGGTTTGAGAGAATATTGAAGATTGCCGAAAAGATAGGATTAAGCATAAAGGAAACTTCAAAGCATGATCTTAACATGGTTGTCGACAACCGTCCCCATCAAGGCTTGATCCTTGATGCTTCCCCTCTGGAAATGGTAAGAGTGAAAGAGCTAGATCCTATGTCATCTGATGAAGAAAAACCCTCAGTTTGGGTAGCCCTAGACGAGGTAACCGATCCCCACAACTTGGGTGCAATCATAAGGTCTGCTTACTTCTTTGGAGCAACTGGCATTGTCTTATGTGCTAAGAATTCAGCTCCTTTAAGCGGTGTGGTGAGTAAATCGAGTGCGGGTTCCCTTGAGGTAATGGAACTCAGGTACTGCAAAAATATGATGCAGTTCTTGACATCCTCAGCTGATAATGGTTGGCGTGTGATTGGGGGTTCGGTTTCTTCAAAGGCTATTCCTTTGAACGAAATTTCACCCGGTACCCCGACAATTCTTGTGTTGGGGAATGAAGGAACTGGTTTAAGGCCATTGGTAGAGAGATCATGTACTGAGCTAGTCCGGATAAACGGCAACATCCCCATAGATATTGCAGCTGGAGAATCCAATGAAGTAGAAGGTGAGGAATTCAGATCTTTTCTCGCTGTGGAGAGCTTGAACGTGAGTGTTGCAGCTGGTTTGCTTCTTCACCACTTCATAGGCAACGGGCAGTCGTCTAGTTCTGAGGTAACTTCTGAATGAAAAGGCCCTTTTATTTCGATGAACAGAACAGGGCAAGGCATAATACAGATTTAGCCGTTTGTGGATCATCTCCTTACTTATGTTTCAAATCTGTTATTTGCCTTAATGAGAGATCCCATTTCTTAGGAGAGTTTCAATGCTCTGTTCTTGCAAAGTAAAGCAGCCGGCTGAGTTCTTTTGCTTGGTGGTTTCTTCTGTTAATCTTAGCTTCAGATTCAGGAATATCATCCATTACCCTTTTCTGAGAAATTTGATGCCAAGATTTCTTTGAAAGGATACTTTGGATCTTGATTGAAAAAAAAAAAGATCTGTACTTTACATGATTTCTTTCTGTTCTTCGGATATGGCAAATTTCTGAAAGGCCTAAACTTTTCACTAATGGTAATGATTCAGACGATGAGAAAAAGGACCCTTTTTTTTTTAATGAAAAGTTTCAAGCCCTTTTGTCTTTCTGTCAGTGACGTAATAAAGTAGGTTTATTTTTTATTAAAAAACAAAAAAGATCAACCTGATTGTATATGTGTGTGGTGGGTGTATATATATATAATGAATTATGTAGTTGAATCTGTACCAAATATTATTCGTAAAATCTGAACAGATACATATACGTATATGTGAAGTGATGACGTCGTAACACGCTATTGATCTGTGGTCCAACATTGTATCTGTCTCTTCTAATTCCAACATGTTCTCCACCAATACATACGCGTGTACACACATATACACGTCACGTATGTAACGTGCGTATACAAACACAACACCCCCCTCCATGGGAATAAATCCCCTGATTATGGTAATTAGCGGATTAAGGGAAATTAGAAAATTATTATAAAAAATTATAAAAAATATATGAAGAATTAGTTGTCAAGTAGAACAGGAACTGTGAAAAGCTGTCATGGTGAGTGTGTTCGAAAAGGACACGAATCATACGAATTGGGGGCCCCCCCAAAAAAAAAAAAAAAAAAAAAAAAGATTCGGCATCTGATTGTGGCATCTTCAACTTCAGCTCAGCCGCCGAATTACCCGAAATTAATTAATTAACAAAAAAAAAAAATAATTTAAAATTAATTATGACTGTAGCTTGCTATGCATGCATGCATGCATGCACGCGTTTTGTTTTACGACATGCTAATGCAACGAATGACAATTAATGATCTAACCATGGGATACATCATGTATGGTGTGAAATTACCATGCAACATGAAAAATAATAATTCACATATGTCACATTCAATTTGAATTTTATGTAAATCCTAATTTCCAGGTAAAAAAATAGATAGCTCACACTCTCTAGGATTTTAGAAAACGTACATATGATGAAGTCGAAGTCCTGAAAATATATTTGGTATTATAAAATTTTATTCACAATTAAAAGATTATACAAATCATTGTGAATGTTTATATTGATTTTAACAATCTTAATCTTATCACCTATAGGATTTATATGGTATTAGCTTTACCACCATATATAAAAAAAAATATTAATAACAATTGAACATACAAAAAAACCCTAATATTTTAGTATTGATCAGCATTAACCCTTTTTTCACCATCTCAAACAACTATAAATATTATTCGACCATCTTATAAAAAACTTTAATGGTTCAATTTTTTGCGTTAAATTTTGAGAGAAATGCATATAGTATTGTGATTAACATAACAGGGCAGGCCGCAGGTTTCGCACGTGTGTGTGTCTCTCCCTCGTAAAAAAAATAAAATAAAAATAGAAAATATTTTTTTCCCTCATCAGTAATTAAAATTTCCTTTGATAAATTAATTGCTTAAATAAAAGAATAAAATTGTAAAAAGAATATGTGATAAAGACGTGTTTGCGAATGAATGGTGTTTCCTTCCAAATATAAAATTAGGCGCTCTCTCTTTCTCTCTCTCTCTCAATTTCTCTTCTGTAGTCCGTTAATGGCGATCTGAGACACGCACGAGTCCAATTGTTTCCTCTTGAGAGAGACAAGGAGACGCAAGACGGCGAAAAGCTTTTAGCTGAAATATAGGGTTTTCGTTTTCTCTCCTTCGCTTGATTTTTTTTGGCTCTCCCTTTCTCTCGGATTTATATTCTTCTCGTCGCCATTGCCGCCGAAGAGGCGAAAGAACACGCGGGAAAGGGGACGTGAACATAGGGGGAGGGAGACAGAGAGAGAGAGAAAGTTAGAGAGCAACAATGTCGACATTGGATTCTATCGACGCGTTTCTCTTCTCTCTCAGCAGAGCCTTCTGTAGCCCTTTTGCTATTTTCATTCAGATCCAGGTGAGTTTTTCGTCTCCTTTTGTTCCTCTCAGATCCAGCTTCTGTTTCGTTTTCGGGAAAAATTATGGGTTTCGAAAACTTGTTTGTTCATGACGAGGTGTTCCTATCTGATGTCCGAAGCACGACATCGGATTCCTAAATCTAGATGTTATTTGTCTATTTTGTTGATTTACCGAATTGCGAGCCCCAATATCGATTCATCTTACAAAATTGCGCTTTTTCTTTGTTCAGCCATATCCTATGATGTTCCCAAATCAATGTAGCAATTGATTCTTAGGCGTTAAAACTTGTTACAATCTTAGTTTTGACATAATTTTTGATTCCCATGGCGCAGCATATAGCAAGTAAATTCCCAATTTTGTTGGAGAAATCAGACATTATTTGACATCATCAGTTTTATTGGGCAGAACATCGGTAAATTATTTAGCTTTTGTTCGAATCAGGAAGTCCAGCATTGTAGCTTGGTACTCGTTTTCAGCAGG